AGGATAGGAATAATTATGTAATTTTCTACTGTCTTCCTAAACCCTATGAAACAATGATTAATATCTCATGAATGTTCCCTCATTGCTTGATCTACTTGGCACACCTCATGCCTAAAAACTGGGTCTAACAATGCATCCTTTCTTGTTGGACTGGACACATACTACTGTAAAAAAAAATACTTCTGAACGCAATCTAGAAATGCTTACCCTCCGTTGCACCTTATGCTTCCACTATTCCAGCCAATATACATGTAATTAAAATGCCTCATTACAATTACTGTGTGATGTTTAAACCTTTCTGTTATATCCTTGCAGATTTGTTCTTCTATATTCTTCCCACTTGTGGTGATTTATACGTTACACTAAGCAATATAATTGCATCTTTCTAATTCCTTACTCTAGTCAAATCGATCCTGTCCTTGAATCCTCTGAAACATTGTCTTTCTCCAGAAGTACAATGCTTTCTTTAACCAAAATACGTCCACTTCTCCTTTCTTTCCTTTCCTATCTTATCTAAACACCTTGTAACCAGGAATATTTAACATCCATATCAGCTTTTCCTTCAGCCAGGTCTTTATTATTGGGGCAATATTATATTCCCATTTGGAAATCAGTGCCTGTAATTTCCCAGTGTTATTAACTGTACTCCGTGCATTCACATACATTTAATGTAACTCTGATTTAGACTTCATTATTTTCCCTCTTATTCTGACTACACTTATTTTACAGTTGTCTATTTTAGTGATATCTGCCTCTAGCATTTTGTGAATCCTGGCATTACTCTATAATATCCTGGTTCCCACCAAGGATTCCCTTGCTGAATTAGTTTGAAGCTTCCACAACTGTCCGAGCAAAATATGCCACAAGGAACTCAAATCTGACTCTGACTCTGTTCAAGTGCAAACTGCCTGACTTGTACAGGCGCAACCTGCCTGACTTGTACATGCATCATCTCCTACAGAGCAAGTACTGGTTTCCTGGCAATCTAAAGCTCTTCCTCCTGCACCAACGTTTTTAGCCACACACATTCATTTGATACGTCTTCCTATTGCTGAAGTCACTTACACATGGCATTGAAAGTAATCCAGATTGCTATTTTAGAGGTCCTGCTTGCTGATTTTCTACCTGCTCCTTAAATTCCAATTGCAGAACCATATCTCCTTTTCGCATCTATTCTAAGTACCAATGCAGACTGTGACCTTTGACTGTGTGCCCTCCTTTAGAAGATAGTCCTGCACTTTCTGGGACATCCCTGACCCCGGCACCAAGAAACACCTATCAATACTGCCCTCCTTCCTCTGCTCCTGGATAGTTGATGCTACCAATGGTGCCATGGATATCTCTGTTCCTTCACACCTTTAAGGATCTATTGTCCTTACCAATATCCAACCAAAAACAAGTTAGTGTCCTCTGGGGGCTCACGCACTACCTACATGTTTTACTTGGACTGCCTGGTGATCACCTATCTCGTATCTACTCGCTTGTCCTTAACTTTTAGTGTAATTACCTCCCTGAATGTGCTATAGTTCTCTGCCTCACAGATGTACCTCAATCACTCTAGTCAGTGCTCAAGCTCAGAAATGTGGAGCCGGTGACAAGTACATGCACTGATTCTGCACATGGGCTCAACTAAGTCACAAGCAGTGTTTGGAATATCATTTGGAAGAGTTCTGGTTCATGGCACTTTACAGCTTGGAGGGGAAATCATATTCTATATGAAGAACATTGTGAAAGATCTTCATGCCCCCAATTCCCAGCTATGCTGCCCTACTCACTCAATGACCCCACATACCCCCGTGCCAATTCATGACACTTCCATGCCTGTTGACCAATTTACCTTATATAAGAATTAATAAACCTTATAATGGCAACAGGATTTTTAAACGCAATTCATTCATTACTTTCCACTTAAAGTCAATTTCCTAGAGTGTAATATAAGTGTCAGTCATCTTGATTCTTAACTGCAAGTACATGAAATCTCCTAACCTGTATGCAAACCTTTATAAATAAACATTATGCAATTGACAGCAGAGATCAGAGTCTGCGCTGTCATTCAAGTAATGTTTTTGCTGGCGATCAGATGTTTCAATAGATCAATGGATTTCTGAGCTCTGAGCAATGATGCTGGTCTGACAGACCAGATTGAGTCCAAACTTTCAACTTAGAGAAGCACTTGAAGTGGAGACAAAATCAGGTTGTAGAAATAATTGGAGCGACCTTTCAAAGCGTTGGAACAGACACAGTGCCTCAATAGCCTTGTGCTGTGCTGTGTTTATATACTTAGTGATTCTGCTAGTGCAGCAGGTTAGCTTGTTTTAAAGAGGCAAGCAAAATGACAAGGAAAAATGCCCTGTCCTGTGTAACAACACATCTGGACTTTACCTGGTGCCTCTTAATACCAGTAATTTGAATTTGGTCTCACAGAAGACTGGGTAGCTGAACTCATACTTATTTTGTGGAAGGCATTGGGACCCTATGTTGCAGAATTGCCCTTCCCTGTGGGCTGGGTTTTGTGTTTCCTCATCTGGAATGTTTTTGGCAAAGTAGCACATGAAATAGTGTGTTGTTGCACAGGCTATTATGTTCTCACTCCCAAATACGAAGAGTAGGTGGATATTGAAATCAGCAGCCTGCACACCATATTTAAAGAAATCGTTATGGGTGAACTGAGCTTATTAAAAGCTAAATTTGCCCAAATATTACCCTGCCCACGCCACAGTAGGTATTGGCAGCATATAAAAATAAGTTCTTAAGAAGGAAGAAAGGAGGGTGGTGTCTTTTGCACAGTGAAGTACCAAACCTCTGTCACTCCTTCCTCAATGCCTGGACTTTAAAACAATTCCATCATCACTCCCCCCACCCTCCAAAAAGATGACCAAACCCTCCCATGACTTAACTGGGTCCAAGGTTGCATTGAACCATCTCCTTGGGACTGTTTGGTGGCCCTGGTACCACCCACTAACAAAATCAGGGCCTGCCGGGGCAGCTGGGACTGCCAGCCTGCATCTCAAGAGAGTGGTACTTATTGCTGTTGCAGTAGAAGGCTCACTCGTGTCAACTTAGGCCATAGCATGTCGTGACTGCACTACAGGTTTCTTCTGTGTCTGTTGGCTGGCCATTGACTTTTCTTCTCTAGTGCCGGGAGGGGGCAACTCAAGCAGAATGCTCCCTGTTAAATTCTGCCCACAGTTAATCTTTCAGGCCATGAATCTTGGATCTTTTGAGAGGTCATCGGCCTTAATCTCAAGTCTGTTTTTCCCCTTGCAGTTGCCTCCTGATCTGTTGAGTGTGTCTGTACTTTGTGTTTTGGTTACAAGTACTTCCAGTTGGTCTTAATTTCAAAATGTAAATAGACATTTCACTGAGTCGCTGAAAAAAAAGATACATTTTGTCAAAGGTTTTAGCATTGTGCTGATCAGGACAATTTATCTGAATACTAATTTAAGGGGAAAAGCTATAAATTATACTGTATGAGAGAAGAGCATTTGGTTGGCAAGTGAACTCTGGTGGCACTGCCTTGGAGAATGTACCAATTAACTGCGGGCCTTGTTCAAATTTTAAACCAGGCATGTTAACTCTAGTCAAGCTACTGCTGTTAGAACTGAGCCAGCAAATGGTTGTCATCTATTTTGTTGATTTGAACTAAGAGCAGTGCATGCATACGTTCTTTCTGTTTGCACTTTGTGTACATAAACTGGGAGCTTAGTACCTATCTGAAGTCCTGGTTAAAGGGTTGGGTATTGCATGCCCCAACTTGATGTATTCTTGGCGGCGCCATGTTTTATAGGTGGGTACGCAGTCCATCACCTTCCTACCCACCCTTGAGTTGACCCTCATAATGGACAGTGAACAGGCACTGAAATTGGCAGCCTGAAATTATATGCAACTTCATCATTTAAGGAACAATTCAACTGTTTAAAGCTCTTTTGATCCAATGCCTAGGCCATAAAAAAAGTTGATGCGAGCAGGAATGAGATTCCCTTTTTAAAAGGTGTTTAAAATGGCAGGAAGGAAGAGGATACTAATTTGGAGGGTGCCCATCAGAAATGCCATGAGAAGATAGTATCCTCATGCACGTACTTTAAGAACCCCTACATTGCTACTCTTCCTAAGTTCCAAAAACACCCTTGTCCAAAGACTGCTGACTTACCTTACTCTAGAATCCGTCAGGCCTCTCCCATGTGCCTGCCTACAATTATGGCAGCGCCCAAGATGGAGATTTGGTGTGCTGGGACTGTTGGAGCTGCTAGCTGGCAACTCCACAGGGTGCTACTTCCACTGAGCTGCAGACGTCCCTCTCTGCAGTATTTTGGCCTGCACACAGCACTTGGTGGCTATCTAGAATGCTTGCCCTCCAATTCTCAGCCCAGTTTATCACCAGCTTTTGTTCTGGATGACGAGCTATCTATCAAAAATGCCCTGGCAATTTACTGCCCCAAGAATAGTTAGCTCTGAGGGAACAACTCACAATGCCACCTGCACAATTATTTTAGAACATAGAACAGTTCAGCACAGTGTAGGCCCTTCGGCTTAAAATTATGCCCCCTCATAATAGTCATTTCCGCCTTGGGAAAAAGTCTCTGGGTATCCACTCTATCTATGCCTCTCATTTTACCTCAAGGAGAATACAGTATACCTAGCGAGAAGGAGAAGCTATTAATGCACTCAATATTTGATCAGGTTAGTGTGAAACATGCAATTTGAAAGTTTAGTTTTGGAAACCTGGTTGGCAGGGACAGGTTGGACCGAACGGCCCATTTCCGTGCTGTGTGGTTCTGACTCTATGCATACTTTGGGCATTAGCAATGTCTGCATTTCAGGGATAAATTTTAAAAAGTTTCAAAACGCATTTTAAGCAAATGTAACAATCAATTGAGACCATCCATCAGTGATGTGGATTAGTTTTTCTGTTAACAGTAAATTGTTTTTTTAAGAGCAAATGCTGTTTAGAAATTGAAGGAAATATATTAAAATATCATTAAATTCTTTATTTCTTTTAGGTCCAACTTGAATCAATAGCTGCTAAGTACATAATGCTTTTACGTGAGCAAACAGGACAGGATATGTTTCAATTGTCTGAGAGACGTCCATCTACCACAGCTTGCAGATTGTACTCTGAAGAGCAGAATTCAAAAAGCCCTCCTGCAGACACTATGGATGGACAAGGTACAAAATCAAATTGGTTAACTGACCAGCAAATATAATAAGTCTTCTGCTTAAAACTAAGCTGCACACAGTATGAGACAACAAGGTGCAGAGCTGGATGAACACAGCAGGCCAAGCAGCATCAGAGGAGCAGGAAGGCTGACGTTTTGGGCCTACACCCTTCTTCAGAAAA